ATTCAGCACTGCCAACTGAAGTATGAAATGAAGCATTCTGTAAATTTATTATCCAAAAACATAAAAAAAAACACTATGAATTACAACTATAATACAATGGAATAACAATTTCTTGAAAGTTCTTTTATTACCTGGATTGGGTTTAGTGACAGTAACACATACACTAAAAGAGAAATAATTTTTAGATGCAAAATTAGGATATTTTAATTTCATAGAAAAGTAACAGATAAATGTTTGAACATTTCTTAGTAAATTTTAGAAAACTTAAGTGAACACTAAATATTATAAAGGAATTATAATTGCTTCCAATCTATAACAAATTCTGTCACATTCTTAAATTGAATTATTAGTTCAAAACCTTCTTCAAATACAACACATTCATGTTAATTGGATATGCTTTTACGTAAATTTAGAATATTATCCTTAAAAGGTATAAATAAGGTATAATATTATAAATTTATTAACCATAGAAGTTTTTTTTAAATAAACATTGATTAAAACCCTATTTTTTTAAATACTGGAATTATGAATGAGAGGCTTTATGTCAGTTATAAATTATTGAAACTTTTTATTTAAGCTTTTCAATCTTGTTATAGTAAAACAAAATTAGAAAAATAACCACTTTTAGACATTTATTATAAAGATAACTTTGAGATATTTCCATGAATAGGTCATAAAATATCTCATTGATATTAAAAGTCAAGAGAATTGTTAAAAATGCACACTAATTGATATTTCAAAGAGAATATTGTCAGGACAAATAAGTTGCAAGTACAGTACAGAACCCGTTATCCGGAAATCAGAAAACTAAAAAACCGGAACGAAATTCAATTAGTTTTTCCGCCATTTAAAAAAAAAAATTTTTTTTTCCTCATAAGATTTTAGGATTTTTCATTCTTTTTTGAAAGATGTTTACCTTACCATAATTTTGGAAATAATCATTAGTGTATTACTTCATCGTTCTTTCTTTTTTTTTAAGATTATTTAAAAAAATTTTTTTTAGTTGGGTTAACTATTAAAAAAACGGCTTTTTGTAGCGATTCAGAAAACCGGAAAAATCAGTTATCCGGAATATCGATGGTCCCGATCGTTCCGGATAATCAGTTCCCTACTGTATAAGAAACTCAAATTCACAAATAATGCAACTATAAAACAAATGTACTTCTTTCAGAACAACTTTATTGTTTTTAATAAGTAATTAAAGTGATAAACAAATCATTTAAAATATAATTACTTCTATGATACAGAGACTAAAATAAAAACAAAGATAATTAATGGATCCTGTGAAAAATTTAACAAAATATTTAGAAAAAAAAAAAGACTAAGGATGTTCAGCAATTGTTTAAAGGAATGAGAAAAAGTACAGATAATGGAGGTCAGATATTTAACTTTCTACATTTACAGGGATCTGTCCAGGCCGAATTTACTACCGTTTAGCGGTGCCTTCACAAATTCAATTTTAGGTGAGACGGTAGTTTCACAAATTCAACTTTAGGAAAAACGGTAGTTTCACAAAATACTTTTTCTTAAAATGTTATTTTTGTATCCCTTAAGAAACGATAAATCTATATTTTTACCATGTTTTTGTGTTGACTTTTTAATATAATTTTTCACAAATTATGCCAAAATTTTCACAAAATAGGTACCTTTCAGAAAAATCTAGACAGACCCCTGATTTATAGAATGACCAGCAAGATCTGGTAACAAAGAGAACTTTATAGCGAAATTTTTAGGGGGCCAAGGCTCACTCTAGGCTGTCATGCCCAGGCAATGTTTTGATTTTGAAGGATGAGTTTTTATAGTTTTCTACAAGATACAGTTTTAAGTTTTTCACATATTTAAAGCACATCTTTTCCTTAATAAATTTTTTAAGGAACATATACAAATAAAGAAAATTTAATTAAGATAATTTTCCAGGATTTGTTATGTCAATTTGACAAAAAATAGTTAACCATAACAAAAGCAAATAAAAAAATAAAAAAACAATTTAAAAAGTATTAATGCCAAAATTTTTTTTTTATAAATATTTGAAATTTAATTTGCTAGCACACAAAAAATAATGAAATGAAACAGTTGAAATCAAGTTTTCACTCAAAAATTACATGGCCGATATATGGACTTATATTCTGAAACTAACTTCATAAACATTTCTGTTTGTGCATACAAAAAATTATTTGATAAACAGTTCTATATAGTTATGGAAAGCGGTTCAAAACAAAAGTGCAATTATAATAAACTAAACTAAGATAGCACTTAGTCACTATTTTTTCTCTGGTACCTAGTAATAATCTACTTTTTAGTAGTATGAAATTAAAACAACAAAAATGTGGCAAAATACTACACATCCTCATACGGATTTCGAATAGAAGAAAATTTTGGAGAATAAAAAACTATGTTTTATGCTTATAATTACTACAAAAACAACTTTTTGACGTCACATACAATCTAAGCTTTTAAGTTACGGAAGAACTGCATAGGACAATTTTGCTCAATGATATCTGCTACTTTTTTTTATACTGAATTTTGCCTAAATATAACAAGACGTAGTAAAAAATATAGATGTATGAGTAAAACAAGCATGCTATAAAAAATGAAACTTTAACTTAGATTTATGTCAAGAATTTTAAGACTTACTTTACTTATATAAATACTTCAAGATATGCAAATTCAGCACTGCAAGAATTGTTATATACCATGATATTGACCAAGTTTATAAAAATGATGGGAAAGATAAAATGAAATTTCTCAAATAAAATATTTTTACCTCTGATTAATTATATAAATTTTAGGAAAAGCGAATGAACGTTTCTATAAATTATACATTATTTATTCAATGTCCAATCTAGCGTTTTGACTATTATATTTTTGGAAATATTCAGATCTTTCTTATTCTTGACTAATAACTAAGCAATATGATATCATGCTTGAAAATTGTTATCCTAAGACGTGTTTCAATGCTGTTTGGGTAAAAAAGCTCTCAATCACCTAAGCTTTGTTATTTGCAACTTTCAAGTAATAGGAAAAAATTTTTTAAAAAAATGCATGACATGATATTTAAATACTTTGGGTCAAAAATGACAAGCACTTTTTAAAATATTTAAAAAATAGTCGAAATCTTTGACTAATTTATTTCCCTTTTAATACTTGTTGGCACTTTTTTTAGTCGATTGTTGAAAAAAATAAATTTGGGTTGTTTGCTGTAAATTATGAAACAAAATTTATGCAAATTTACTACAAAAAAATTGAGTGCTTTCTAATCAAATGTGCTTTAAGATTTTCTTTTTGTGAAAAAGATTTTTTACAGATGCTACAAAAGTGAGGTCGTTCTCCAGTATGAACTAACACATGCTTTTTCAGATTCCAAGAAAATGGTGATTTGTAAGGACACAGCAAACAATTATACAGTTTTCCCTTCATAGAGGTATGTGTAGTATTGACCAATTTGCTAAAACCTAAAGAAAAAGAAAACATTATAGGATATAGAAAACATCAAGGATCAATAAAAATTAATGTGATGACAAATGATTATAAAATGCATATAATTCCCATGAGAGAACATATGTATTGAATTTTTATACTAATCAAACATCAACAATACATATTCTTAAAAAAATTATAAAATTTTTTCGATCTATTAAATG